AAAGTAATATTAATAGATTTTCCTACATAAGGTTAGTTACTTTCGTTACCAAATTAATACAATACACTATTGAATGATTCTTTCAGATTCATAGTTTTAGATTGACATATACATACCTCTATGTTCTTTGGCCATGTGCTTTCCCACATCCTGGGTAGAAAAGAACCTTTAGAGAGCATCAGAGAAGGTTCCCCAATGCTCACATGTCCACTCCATTTATGCTCTTCTGGCATGAAATCAGTCGAGGAGGATGAATGCGTAGAAAGAATGCTACTTTCAAATCCTATATGGTAGTTATAATTGTCATTTTCTAATTCTCTCTGTGGATTTATTTTATCCAAACTAGTAGGTGATGGAGCTAAATTACTGAATCCAGAATCATCAGTACCATGATAATGTCCCATGGGATTTCCCCAGGAGCATTCTCTATTCAGATCTTGAGGTTTTGGTAACACAGAAGGACTAAAACCAATTACTGGTGTTTTCCTCACTTGATGCCAGGAGAGTTCAGGGTTTTTAGAAGTGAATTTATTCAAGGATATTTGGTGTGTTTCATCTAATGAATGACTTCTTGGATTCAAGTTTGGGGCAGTGGGTCCAAAAAAGGTGTTTTCTTCAATTGCACTCTCAGAGAGTGGAGTTTTGTTACTGATCTCAACTACTAGCTGATCAAAACCCAGACTGACTTGGCTAGAAGAAAGGAATTGATTTATGGAGTGGAATTCTTGGTGCTCATATTGCTTTTCATGTGATTCATCGGGATTTGGATCTATTTGCCAACAATATGCCATGCTTTTATTTTATGTAACTGAAGGGGTTGACGACTCTGCTCCAAATATCTCCTTGATGATATTATAAAAGAGGATAGAAATTTTCCTAGAAAAAACATAAAAGGAAACAAAAAATATCTAATTAGAAATAAATGAGCTTGCAAGAAAGAAATATGATGAATAAATATAAACAGTGTTTTGAAGTTTTTTATTACCAAGTGAAATAATTCCTTGAGTACTATAAAATTCAATCAGGACTCACAATATTACAAGTCTGAGGGGGGAGTACTAATTTGGACAGATTTCTGAAATTCCTGTGATAGAAAAATAAGTCCACATCAATTATGACAAGAATTTCATGAATCTAGTAAAGTCAATATTACCCCCTTTGACTCCTTTTCCCACTGAATATCCACTTGTCACTTGAATACAGAGGGGGAATACATCAATATTTCCCCTCAGTACCCAATCATCTATAAGAATGTTGGCATGGTAACATTTTTTTTCTTATTAGATGCATGATCTCTTCTTGATTAGCAACTATCCCATCCCCAGAACTAGTTTCAACTCATTTCTACTCTCCATAACAAATCATGTTAAAATGGTTGGCTAGACTCTTTCTTCTCCTCCCCAAAACTATTTAAATAATTACTCTCTTATCCACTTCTCAAAAAC